GTTTATTTAATAATTACAGAAATAAAGACTTGTGTAAGCCATGACTTGGTTGCAGCACAAGAGATAGTCTGTCTCACAGTCCCTGAACCACATTATTTCCCCTACAGCCTAGCCCTCCTAGTCTGTCTCACAGTCCCTGAACCACATTATTTCCCCTACAGCCTAGCCTTTCTCAAAGTCTCTGAACCACATTATATTCCCTACTGCCTTGATCTCCCTGCAATGCTCAAGCCCCTAATGAAGCAAGTCTAGATTCCCCCAGGTTCAGGTTCTGAATCTCCCTCTCACTGGGGCTCCTTTTCAATTTATGTTGGTTTATTTGTTACTATCAAAATTATATATATTCAGGGACTAAGCATTAGTCTGTCTACACAGGAGGTTGAGAAGTCCTGTCACTAGCCTTGCTTCAGGGCTGTACTGAATGATAAGTCCTGGATGCATATCAAATCAATCCTCATATTAGTTAAGTCTTGATAAGTGGACAGTGCTGGGGTACCAGTCTTTCACAGACACAACTTGTTCTCGTAATTATCTTATCTAGGAATTTTTATTTAAAAAATAGTCATGTCCCTTAGATATGTGCAAGTCTACCTTATCACTACCAGTGATAAGGTGAAGCATAAGGTGATAATCTCTGCAGACATCTGAATGATACTTAGCAGAGGCATTAAGGGTAGATTTGAGATGGGACAGGGACTAGTAAAAACATCATATATTTAGAATGTGAATGTATGGTTTTGAAATTTAATTAAGTTTAAACCCAAAGGCAATTTCCTTGAATTAAAACTTGTATAAATGTTTAGTTTATGTGTTACCTTTGAGTAAGGAAGTGTTTATACAGTTGTTCATATAATTACATAATTTTATTAAGTTCTTTTTGAAGAAATCTTTTAATTTGATATAGTCAATGATAAACCATCAGTGCATTTAAAGAAGATAAAAAATATTTAACAATTAAAATGAATACATTTTTTTAGTTTTTGAATGGACTAATTTTTCATAGAAAAATGTAAACTGGTATTAGAAGCTGACGAGAGAGGCATGTGGACGAAGGTCAACAAAAGCTTGTGACACTTTCCATATGGCCAAGGTCTCTTGACTGCAGGAAGTGTGGCAGTGAGCCCGCTCACTATAATGTAGACCTAAATGGGTGGCGGAAGTGTCAGAATTATCCTGCGGATGAGGTCACTATTTGGCAAGACATTTTGGCCTGTGTCTGCATCGTGTCATGGTTATCCAATATATAATTGTCAGTAAACTCCAGCCCTTTAATGCCAAGTCAGACCAACTCTCCACTCCTCTTACACTTTGTAATGACCGTCAGGGAGGCTATTGTACATGTAACCGGCAAGATGGGAAACATTTTAAACTTGTGTTTCGTGATTAAAGGGAAATATGGAATGGTCTAAAATAGCTGACTTAATTGTAATGATATGTATTTGAATGAATATAATGAATTATTTGGTAGTAGAGTATGATTGTAAGGAACCTACTCTCATAGTCATCTTTGAAAGAAAGCAGGCAGGTGGAGTAGTTTCATGGCTTCTTGAAGTCTCACTCTGGTTTGATAGTACATGACTTGTATTGGATGACTTGTCTGGTTTGATAGTACGTGACTCGTCTTGGATGTCTTGTCAGCATCTGTGAGGCTACATTCATAACTGAGGTGATTGTTGTGTACAATTTATCAGTTGCATGTGATCATTGTCATTTATTTTTAGGATCTATTGCAGAAGAAAGACTTTATAATTGCATGGACATTCTTGTAATGTTCTTTCAGCACATAACCACAGCATGTAATCTAACTGCATTGTGATTTTACGAGAGGTTTGATGCCTATGGACGCTTAGACTGATAAGAAAGGTGCCGACCTCTCTACCAAATGTACAACAGATACAGATTTGAGTTTGGAAAGTTTACACTGGAGCAATGTGGGGAGGGAAAAAGTGTGAAAGTGGAAGTTGCCAGAGGCCGACAGTTGCTTTGTAAAAGTTCTCATGTAAACTGGGTAGCAGGGAAATGGCCATTATTTGTCTGTGGCTGACGGTGCCAACCTAACCAGGCGGCCATCTTGACATGTTTGTTTGTGTAAGACCCAGAAACGGCCGTCACAATGGCTGCAAGAGCAGCGAATGCTACGTCAGGCACCGCAATCACATAAAGACAATTTGTCATCGTGAAATCTAAGAGTCCCCAGCATTGGATGACCTTATATTTGTGTCACGCCCATTGTATGACATAATATATTGTGTGTGTGTAGGTGTGTGTTTTATCTTGGCTTTCAGAACTCCCCATGTATATTCATTTTTGAGATACAGGAATGAGGTTTGCTTGTCTGGATTGTTAGGACAGTCATAACGAGAATTTAGAAGCCTCAGTGCTGAATGGCTGATGACACATGGCGTTTCAAACTGAAACCTCTGCAAGACATTAGTCTGTATTTCACCATGTGTATGACAATCACTAAGTGTATGACACCCCCGTAACATCACAAACTGTATGACAATCACTAAGTATATGACAATCACTAAGTGTATGACATAACTAAGTGTATGACATCACAAACTGACAATCACTAAGTGTATGACATCACAAACTGCATGACAATCACCAAGTGTATGACATCACAAACTATATGACAATCACTAAGTATATGAAATCACTAAGTGTATGACAATCACTAAGTATATGAAAATCGCTAAGTGTATGACATCACTAAGTGTATGACATCACAAACTGACAATCACCATGTGTATGACATCACAAACTGCATGACAATGACTAAGTGTATGACATCACAAGATGAATGCCCCTTATGGAACATCACCAAGGGTATGCCCCTGTATGACATCACCCAGTGTATGCCCCCAGCCAAGTATGATGTCTATGAGAGATGAACAGGAATGTCCGTGCGACGGTTCACGTAGTTCCTAATGTAGATGTGATGTAGTTAACCTGTACACACAAAGACAAGTACAGGAAACATTGACTCCATGTGTGGTTTATGCTTCCAGCAGTAGAAACAAATGGGCTACTTATAATACCATACCCTAAATCTCAGTCTTCCAGAAAATTGGATTCACTTTGCTCTCGCATCTTTTGACAATGTTGTCTTTGCTGAGTAATCTTTTTGGACATGGGGCTCTGCTTGTGTCTGTGATGAAGGCATAGCTGATGGGTTACAGGAGGGGGTTCAGCATCTGCTTTGGTGCCAGTGATGCCAGAATGAGCGTATGAGTGGGTGGGGTTTTGTACCACAGTGAACATTATCTGAGATACAACACTGTCTGAAGAGTTCACTAGGCAAACCAGTGGTTGATGGTGTGAGCATCGATCCATGCTACTGAAGTGTGGTTATTTACAGTTATACCCAGTTGATGATAAGACACTGTTTGTGTTTGCCAGTTTGATACTGGTGTGTTTGTGACAGGAGATGATGATGATGATGATGATGATGATTATCAATGTGTTAGTTCCCATCCGACAGGTACATGTTCCTAGAAGTATTATTCACTTCAGGACCCGTGAAGGTCAGGGTTAGAATATTGATCTTCAGTAACCCATGCTTGTCGTAAGAGGCGACTAACGGGATCGCTGACTTGGTTGACACATGTCATCGCTTCCCAATTGCGCAGATCGATGTTTATGCTGTTGATCACTGGATACCTGGTGCAGACTCAATTATTTACAGACCGCCGCCATATAGCTGGAATATTGCTGAGTGCAGCGTAAAAACTAAACTCACTCACTCACTATTCACTTCAGTGACAGTCAACTTTTCCCTTTCAATATTCTTGAATATTTATCACCTGGTTGTGCCTTGTGACGTCATCATGACACAACTGGGCTTTTAATTTTACTGACAGTCAACTTTTCACTCTTCATCATATTCTTGAATATTTATCACTTGGTTCTTCCTTGTGATGTCAGTATGACACAACAGGGCTATAAAAGACAATTGTACACACCTCTTCAACACAGACTAATGGGTCTTACATTGTAGGTAGGAGGGTACACATCTATCTCCTTGACGCGACTGTCACCCAGCCTGGGAACCTCATCAGCATTTGTCCTGTGTTATGTAGCTTGTTTTCTTTTTTTTTTGCAGCTAAACCAATGTTGTCTTGGAGTGCACCTGTACTTTATTGATGGTATATGTATTTGGACGGGGGAAATGTTGTTTTTCATGCCATTAATATTTTTTACAGCAGTAAATGAAAAGGGGAATTTAATTCATTGAAACCATTAATTCCCCTTTCATCTTCAAGATGAGAATGTTATGACTTTAGTGAGTGATTGGGACCAGATGACTGGAAAACTTACGATCTCATTATTCAAGAACAACCTCCTTCTGTAGTAGAGTCAGCATATGTAAACAGAGTTGTGGTTCTGATTATATTACTTTCCTTAAAACTCTTTCCAACAGTATTTCCAAATACAAAAGATACAGAAACCATTTTAATCCTGTAATGAAGGCGGATTTCTTAAAAACATGTTGAACCCCCAAAAAATATTTTGTAAAACTCTTTTTGTTTTGACGTACTTGGGGCACGTTGTTCAAGCTGGGCTGCTGTGGAAAACGTGATGTAATGTTTAAATGCAGACATTTAATTCCCAGTTAATTAAATCTTGTAACCGTACACTTGTGCTAGTTTCATGGATTTCCTGATACCTTCACTGAAATGAATTACAGCGGACATAGGCATGCTGAAGACTGTCTGTGGAATAATTATAGAAAAATGTTTTGTTTCTGGTATTGAAATGTAAATATTAGTTTTGTTTGATAGCATTTGAAATTGATGTTTTTGTGTTATTACCCTTGTGAATGCCTGTGAAGTGTCTCAAATTTTGCTTACATAGCAAAAACAGAGTCATAAAAAAATGGCGAAAATGAGCCAACAATTGCAAAACTGCTGCTTTTTTACGGAATGATTTGTAGCCATGTGTTCCAATGTCACTTGTACAAATGGTTTAACACAGTTCTCCTGTTTTGTTTTCAGGTTATTCAATACCGAGAGAGTGAAAATTCTTGATGGAGGAAGTAGATTGAAAATTGCCAATATTTCTTCTGCCGAAAATGGGATCTACTCCTGTCGAGCTGAGAATGTGGCAGGAGCAGTGGATAGCTCAACAAACTTCCTACTCAATGTTCAAGGTGAGAAAAAATTGTATAAACAACTAAAATAACCATCCAATATCTCTGTGTCGGAAAACTGATGAGCTGGCAATGAGCGTATTTCTGCTTAGAAGTACTTTGGGACAGTTAAACATGTATTATGTTAAGTTTGATGGATATTGAAATTTCATGAATGAACACCATGTGGTATTGTATTGTGATAGTCTTAAAGAAGTGGAAAAATAACATACAGGAGGCCCCGCACAGCATCGTCTGTCCCACAACAGACATATCTATGCTTACAATTTGTTGATGACTTCACTCTTCTAATGATATACACACCGTTTCTTATGTAATAGGTAAACATAAACGTGTTCCTTATGCAAGAGTTCGCCTTCAACTGTTTGTGAGTCTGTGGCCAGCATTTGGAGAATGTCCGCCCAATTCCCTGTAGATGGATGTGGAGCAGGAACGCATGTCTCGACAGGAATGTTTGAACGATAGATATGACATAGAAGCGATGAGCTATGGGGGTGGACTGGGCTGTTATGTTTGAAGTCATAGCTGACATAGTACTCACACATGGTGAGGATGTATATTCAACGCTGTCACTTTGAGAATGATTCCAAAGAAAATTTTCGACATTAAATCCAAAGTCTGGTGTACAAATGGTGTGGAATAACATTCATGGTAGCACATTGCATAATTCGGTTTGATCGTCACCTCACCTGGTGTCTGATTGCAGAATTCTGGATAACTGTCATTCTTTTTCTACAGAACTGGATTACCAGTATTTGGAAATATTAGGAAAATCGGCCCTGAAGAATTCAGTGTTATACTTCATAAGAAATGCATTCTGCAGCTGTAAGAACTGGTGGGAATTGTGGATGTAGACTAAAATGGACCACCTGATTTATTGAATTCAGGCCTATTGTTGTCGTAAAAGGATTATCTGTGAAAACAATGTATGAAGAAATCCAAAGTGTGTTATAACTATGTTAAGGAGGTGTCATTTACTGTATTTCTCATGCCCTCACCTATAATAAAGGACCAGTCTTTAAAAAGGTTTTAAATTATAAACTTTCTGTTAAAAATAAATCATAGAAATGTTTTTTCATGACCCCTCTTCAAAGTAAAAATGACCAGTGCATTAGAGCAGCAGTTATGGTTCTTTGATCATCTGCCATAAAGGCTCCTTTCCTTGTGGCCTACCAGTCTTCTGGTAGATCTCCTGCTCAGCTGAACATTTCCACATCTTATCCAATTGCTCAATCAAAGACTATTAGGCAATCATTGGCATGTCTCCCTGCGTTCCCATGTACTCTTCTTACACCATTTACAACACTAGAGGATCAACACTGGGCAGATAAAGGAGACATTACGTCCGTCTGCTGCATAACAGACATATCCATGACCGTCTGCCTCTTCTCTGTCCTATCTGACCGTCTGCTCTGTACAGTTCTATCTGTAGACTGTTCAGACCATCTCTAATGGAGAGTTCCAATGTGCCGATACCTGGCCACTGTAATGGCTACCAGTGGCCGTCTGCTCTGATCCCGATCTGCTGATTTTACGCCTTGTTGTTTCATGTCTTGTCAGCACCTGTGGTGTTAGCCTCTGCAGTGATAAGATAAATGGCTGTCGGAGGAAGACTGGATGTGGCAGGCAAGCATGGTCTGTGCATTGTCAACAATGTGCATCACATATTTCACCCTTTCAAAATCAGATACCTTCGCTTGAACTACCCAGTACCTCTATGAACATTTAGTGAACCCAGAGCAAATGTTGGTATTGATTACTGTTGTCAGATTTGTCAAATTACAATTGTTCTTTATGGCATTATGTTGACCCTTTGGTTTGATTTGTGATCCATGTCTGGAAGTTGGTTAAATTTGTGAAATGAGAAATGTGGTTTATGCGAAAAGTTTGACAGTTTGGCATTTAAATGTCATGAAACTGTTATCATGGTTGTGATAAGTTTATGTTAGTCTTATTTATAACTTTTAGTCATCAATGGTCGACAGTGTGAACAAGGTGGCTGAGTCAGTGAGTGAATTTAGTTTTACGCCACTTTTAGGCATATTCCACTAATATCACGGCAGGACAACAGAAATGGGCTTCACACATTGTGCCCAAGTGGAGAATCAAACCTGGGTTTTAGGACGAACGCTTTAATCACTAGGCTACCCCACCGTCCACAAGATGGAGTATGACAAGTGTGGAGTATTTAGATTGATGCACAAACAATCAGATCAGATGAGGAATATCCTTGATGTATATGTAAGATATCTGAAGTAGAGTTCCTTATGACAAGACTGATCCTGATTTTGTTATCCAGTCCACCTTGAGTTGGATTTGTGAGTAGATGGCCACTGATATCTGATATGAAACAGCTTGGATTACATTCATTTGGGGCAAGAAATATTCATTCTGTCAGCAGGTCAGTGAACGCAACCGTTTACAAATGTTTTATTTGAACAGCCTGCCTTGATGTCCTCTGTTATCATCCATCTCCATAATATTGCACTCCCGATTATCTTCTGCTTCACAGATTCTTGGAACTTTCCTTTGTTAGTTAGCTCAGGGTTGTTTTATGTCTGTCTTCGTGATAGAGAGAAGATACTAACGTGTTGGACACGGGAAAGGGAATTCTACTCCCAAGGGACAAGTTCTGTCCTTCAGTCTCTAAAAGCATTGTTGAAATTTTAATGTAAATTATGTTCTTCATTTTTTTCACTATGAAATGTTCATGTCTTAAGATGGCACGAGGACATTCCGACTCGTTCAAATAAAAGCTTTGAATTTTATCAGGGGTTAGTTTGACAGGTTGCAGGATATTATTGACATCAATGATGTATCGATCTCAATTATAACAGTTACGATCTGATAATGTTGCAAAAATTATTCATGTTCCATTATAAGCACATCTCTGTCGAGCAAAAACCTAAACAGTAACACTAGCTCATTGTTAGAGGGAATGTGAAAATACGAACAGTTGATCCACAGTGACCTATGACCTTTTTGTCATAATGTGTCGTCTTTTGTCCATAGATATTTTTATTTCAACTAATTAACTTCTTTTTGTTAGAATTCTGGATCACACAGAGCATCAAACAAAATGTTAAATTTTGCAAAACCTAACTACATCACACATAAAGTTTTAAAAATCTACTTCACAGGAGTGAAAATAAACAAAACATTGCTTTAATGGAAGAAAAGTGAAGTATATATATGTGAAGCATATTTTTTTAATATAAACTAGGCAAACTAGTACTTGAATGTTTTACAAAGGCATAAACTCCATGTGTGTTTTTCCACATGCCAAATTGCCATCAGACCTGTTTTTATGGATGCATTTAGGGCATTCTGTTCAAGAACATAAATTCTCCAGAGGTACGACATTGTCTCCTAAACAATTGGACTTTGTAAACAAAGTCACCTTGCATGAAATCAATAGGGGAGAGAGGTTCGCTGTCTGAATTCAGAAGTTGTGCATGTGACAGTGTAGATGGGTGAACGTACCCAGACATGTTTAAGAGGGAAGGTTGTGGGTTTAGATGACAAGTGATTACAAGTCTAAATCTTGAGTCATAGTTGATAGCTGAACACAACACCAGGCACTGTAGTTTGAGATTTCAAAAATTTTGGTGATCCTCATGATAAGATTCTTTCAGGGTTATGTTTTTACACATGCTGCGGAGTTTTAAAGAAGGGAACATTGGACGGCTAGTGTACACTGTTCAGTATTTAGTAGGTATTTTTTCACATGAACTTGTCATGTTAGTAAAAAATGGTTAACAAATGTATGAAAAGCCTTCAGAGATAATCCTGAACAAACTACAGTTAAAGGGTATTACTTCAATAACGTCATTGTAGAAGAGTCACATGAACTCTTCAAGAAGATTGTGAGATAGGACTGTCATTCATTGTGTAGTGAGTGAGTGGGTGAGTTTAATTTTATGCTGCGCTCAGCAATATTCCAGCTATATGGCGGTGGTCTGTAAATAATCGAGTGATCAACAGCATGAGCATCGACCTGCACAATTGGGAACCGATGACATGTGTCATCCAAGTCAGCGAGCCTGACCACCCAATCCTGTTAGTCGCCTCTTCTTACGACAAGCATGGGTTACTGAAGGCACATTTTAACCCGGACCTTCACGGGTCATACATTGTGTAAATTAGAGGTACTATATATAGTATATATACACTAGGAACCAGATATATTGTGTGGTTAAAGAAAATGACAAGAATAAACTTTAATCGTTGTCAAAGTGATCATTCAGATATTGCTAGTCTGTCTCACAGTCCCTGAACCATATTATTTTCACTACAGAAAGCTCTCCCTGCAATGCTGAAGCCCGAAATGAAGCGAGTCTTGATTTCCTTAGGTTCTGAATCTCTGGTCTCCCTGAGTCTCCTTTTCAATTTCGATGGGTTTATTTGTTACAATCAAAATTATATATATTCACAGACTAAGTATTAGTGTGAGATATTGACTACAGCACCTGTCTGTGCTCCCTGTAGTCTCAACACACAGATCAAATCAGTTCCATATTGACTGTAGTTTTATCTGTACAGTGTGTAGCCAGTGCAGAGGCTTAGTTGAATCCTCCACTTTATTAGTGTCAAATTATCCAATTATTCAGGATCACCACAATTAAGTCCCACAGTTGGCTGAAATTATTATAATAAGAAACAAATCTTACTCTGTGTAGTGTTATTGGTTACAGATATGTTACTTCCACTGCAACATTTGTGGGAAATTATTCAAATGAGAGTTGATTTGTGTTGTTTTTCGTTGAAATATCAACATCTTTTTATATGATTAAGAACATCCTTAGAAACTTCCACTTGTGCTTTTGACTAAACCATGTTGCTCCATAAGAAAGGTATCATATAAATGGTGGAAATGACTAAAGTTTAGTTGCATGTTCTACATAGATCATCATTTGGACTAATGACCAAACTACGTTAGTTTCCACAAATGCTTGTTTACAAGAGTTGTTAGTTTTGCAGTAATATACTTAAGGCTTGCT